TATATATTCCAGCTGGAGATGCATTTTGAAACATGTGCATCAACTTTTACAGGAGACAGCTCATGCCCTCATTCCGGATTCCATCAGCATAAATCAAAGGCTGCTACATATGTTTTTTGCTCAAACATTAATAGCACCTTCATCATTAAACACTATCTGCTGTGCTGTGAAGTTTCAGAAGGTTTCTATTTCTAGCCTGCTAACCGGAAAAGGAACAGAGTGCTTATTAATAGTACAAAGGCATTAGTCATTTACAATACCCAAACATTTCCTGGAGGCTTGTAAAGTCAGGACCTCTCTTTCTAGGCAATACATTCATGTGGTTTCCCATACATCTCCTTCACATCCTTGGGGAAGCTGCAACTGAAGTGGTCATGATCAGTAACTCCAAGCCTCAAGCAGTAGCTACAGATGTGTATAAATGTGAAGGGAAGATTTCAAGAGCTTACAACATGGTCTATTTCAGAGAGGCTCCCTTTGCTCTCCCAAAACCCATTTCAGAGATTCTCCCTAATGCCTTGTCTTTCCACCCTTTCGGGAGGGCACTGCTACCATTTAGAAAAGGTACATGTACACACTAGTGTCTTCTGCAAGCAAATGGCTTGTAAAGCACACACCTCCACAGATTGTCATCCCATGCCCAGAAAGCATCTTTAACTCTCAGCACCCACATATCAAATTCACGTTTGACATAAGGCAGCTCCATATCAAGACACATTCTGGCATTTGTTTGTCATTTGTTTGTTACATATTACTAACCAGTGTGCAAGGTGTGTGTGTGTGTGTAATGGGCAAAATGCACTTAACCATGCAATACTTCTAATGGGCAAAATGCACTTAACCATGCAATTTTATTTACACTAGCAAAGCAGCAGAGAGATAACATGAATACTATATATGCTTGCTTGGTATAGATGCCGGTAGGTGTTCCAAGTACCCTTTGTTTCGGTACACATGAAGACATCCAAATGCATTCCCAGAGCAGCTACATGTTCAAGCTAGCAATAAGTACTCTGTCTTATCCACTTGTTCATCTAGTTTAGTATCCTGAACTAGATGTGTTCTGGTAGCTTGTTTGTAGAGGATTTTTTAGGTTTCAAGAAGCAGATTTCATGACAAGTTGTCAACAGAATTTCCATAGCTGGACTCAAATGAGAAACATCTCAGAAAATTCAAATTACCATCTACCTCACTTTTCAGTTTTACAGAAGAACTGCTTAGTATTGCATCGGTGTAGGTGGAATCTTTCTGCTGTTTGCATAACATTTGTGTAAAACTGTGGTTGTGGCTAACTGATGAAGAGTCAGGGAACATCATGTTTGTACATTCTAGCACGTGATGAAGCATGTGACCCAGATGTATCTGGCATCTTGGCAATTAGCCACAATTGGCCACAACAAGTTACACTAACCTTACATGAACACCAACAGGACTGTGATCAGTATTACATATAAAGAACTACGCATGTATAGGTTTCTGGGAAAACTACTCCAATCTTCCAACCCCTCATCCCAAACCAACTGATCTTCAAAAAACCTATATATGCTCATATGTAAGATCTTCACATCATGTGCTTGTTGGATAAAAACCACAGTGTTCACACAGCAACTGTGATGTGCAGAGCTGCTCTGAGTTAGCAAAAACTATAAAATGAGCTCCTATACTTGGACATTACCTGTGACAATTTGTAGGATGCAGAAATCAGACCTAGCAGCAAATAGCTTTAAAGGCAAGCATGGATGCTTAAACTGTACTGTGTTTCCAGTTTAATATTCTCTGTCAATAAGGCTATCCTCACTCAATAGAATACTCCACTGATTCCATATGAAAGGACATTTTGAAGTTTGGAGGGGCATGACAGAAATCCTGCTGAAGAAGCATCTGGATTTTCTTCCTGCCACTTTACTAACTTTTTCTATACCCAAAAGTAGCAAGTGTCTTCAGTGTTATAATGTCTGGTGCTGAAAACAATGTGGTTAGCCCTCTAAGTATTATTTAGTATTTTATGATAGCTTACTGTAAGATCACTCAATGCTACCTTTTTAGGATTTCACTTCTCCAGTATCTCAAAAGGACAGGACTACATACCACTTCTCTATTTTGACTGTGGGAACCCACAGAAAGACTATGGAACCACTCTTGCAGGGGGTACTCACAGGACCAGAAATCCCTTAATCTCAATACCAACACAAACTAGCAAATAACCGTTTGAGCAAATCACATAATTATCAAAGCTTCCATGCATGTTAAGATAAGTGAAAGCATTTGAAGAAATACAATTAACTAAATGAATTACTGTAACACATTTCTTTTTCTACTAAGCTGAATTTCTATAAAGGTACAAATAAGCACTTTTACTCTCCATTGCAATAAAAGGTTTAGTCCCTCACAATTCAGACATTTAAAAAACAGTGCCTTGAGTGTAAAACCTATACAGTTTCCATATGCCATAACAGAATGACATATATATCACTGCAGTAGGTTAGTTTTATTTCCACTTCTGACCATATGTTAGATTCTAAAATATATTAATTTATATGTATAAAAAATTGATTATCCCAACATTTCTTCTCCTTCATGATATCTGAGTAAATGAGGTTACTTTGTATAAATTAGAAAAAGTCAAGCTTTTGTATTTAAAATAATGTAGCATTTGCTTACCTCTGTGGGTTTGAAACAGTCTACCAGTGCTTCCTGGAAATACAATGACAAAAATATTAGTTGTTTATAGGGATAGCCTTCATTCCTCCTTTTTATATCTAAGTATTGGACATTTCAAAGTACCAATGATATCTGGTAATGAATAAGCATCTTTTTACACCATTATTTCATCTCCTAGGGGACTTTATGTTTTCTTAGAGTTAACTGGCCACCTGCAACAGGTGAAAGCTGCGATATTCACAACCGCGGTACTTTTATCAACACTTTAGGAATAATTTTTCACTTGTTCCAAAGTTACATGTTAGCTGCAACAGAAGGGAAACGGGGCGTTTCATTCACTGGGATTTCCTGTTTTCCAGGAAACTAGCAAATCAGTTACTGCCTTATTCTCAACACCTGATGGAGACAAACCCTTGGGCAAGCTGTTGAATGCTGATCTCCACATTATCAAATCAAACATTTTGTATCCTCTGCAGCACTCTATGTTGCCACCGGATTCATTTCTAGTATTATATATTTCAGTAATTATGATTTATTGGCTGCCTTTCCAAACCATGCTGTGTGAAAGATTGTTCTAGACTTCCAAGTCAATCAGTGGAGCTGGAATTCAGATACCCACTCTCCCAAACTTCATCAAAATCAACTAACTTGTAATTTGAGGGCTCTCTCCTCTTCATTAGCAGCATCAAGAAGATCATCAATGTCAATTTCTACATCTGGCATCTCTTCTTCCTGGGAAAAGAGAAAGTTGAACCAGGTTACTCAGTTTCATCGCATCCAGATCTGGAATGCCAGTATGTATCCCCCTCTCTCACACATCCATTTACTAGCTCAAGTTCAGTGTAGCTTCAGTTGACCATGAGAACCTAACAAAGATGCAGCTAGCCCAACATTCCTTGGGAGGGAGTGCCATGAATCCACAGGGTGTCCACCAACATATCCTTTTAGGGTGGCAGGACAACAGGACCTCTGTCAAGATACTTGAATTCCAGGCAAGTAAACCTATGGGAGGAAACAGTCTTTTGGACATCCTAGTTAGCTAATCTCTTTAAGTAGGGGAGGAGCAGGTGAACATCTTGTTTCTCTTGCATGTCTAAATAGTGGGACATGGGCCCTCCATAAAGATGCCTGCTTTATGTAATTCTTCTCCACTACTCCATCATATAGATCAATTAATCTTTATTGTATAGCCATACCCAACAACACGATGTAAATTAATGCATGAAACTGACCAAAGGCTGAAGGAACCAATTTGGGCTTTTTAAAACAGATACTACACATTGCAATGCGTACAGCCTTCTATAAATGAATGGACAGTACCTATCACCACTAAAGCTATATGCTGTCATCACCTAAACAAGGCAAAAGCAGTACTGCAGATGGAAAAAGGCGATCCTTGAAAGTAGGAATGGCAATTTATTCAAGAGAACTATCTGCCTTTCCACCCACTATGACATTTCACTTCCAAAAAAACAGCCAGGTCTTCTTATGACTTAAATACAGACAAAATGTATTCCACTCATTTTCCATTTCCCTTTTTGATTATTTTTAAAGTAGCCTTGGTGAAGCAAACATTAGCCACATACCTTCAGACACCATAAGGAACCTGGTTACAGAATATACCATCTGGTTACTGTTTTTATTTATTTATTTATTTATTTATACCCCTTAGTGTCTCCCAGTGTTTGTTAATCTCGTCACTATAACTGGTGCTTTGAGGAGAAAAAAATGATAGTACCGTGGGGTCTTGACTTGAGAACTTAATCCGTATTGGAAGGCGGTTCTCAAGTTAAAAAGTCTGTAGGTCAAGTCTCCATTGACCTACAGTGCATTGAAAACCGATTAATCCCGTAACAGGCCGTTTTTGTTCCATTTTGGTTTTTTTCTGGTCTGTAAGTCAATTCTCAGGCTGCAAGTCAAACCTAAATTTTGCGGCCAGAGAAGTCTGTAACTCAAAAAGTCTGTAAGTCAAGCCGTCTGTAAGTCAAGGGTCCACTGTACCTCCTTTGGGGAGCATGCCACCTAAACTGATGGTAGAAGAGACAAACTTAGCAAGGGAGTTTCGATGAAGGCAGCATTTGTGTGAGCTGAGTCTTACTAAACAACTTGAGGTCCTAGTCACAGGAGGGAAATGTTCTCTAGTTATCCCCCAGTTAGTTTACTCCCCCCTCCCCCAGTCACGTGATGGCACAGTCAAGATCAAAACATTTTCCCAGCCAGCAGAATAAGTGGGGAACATTTCCCCCTGGTCTTGAGGGTTGTGTTATTTTGTACCTCTTTTGTACCAGTGCATTCCTTACTGGGATTGCCTGTGTGCATGATCTGCTCTGCTTCTTTTCAGAATCTATGACAGGAAAGGTGACCAGCATTTTTGTGGTGTGTTTTTTCCCCCCTGACCGGTAGTATATCAATACACTGTTCATTGTTCAATGCGATTCTGCAGAAGTACCTAGCGCAACAGAGGACACTTTCCTAAACAGAAATCCCTTCCTGATATATCAATGTATCAATAAATATATTTTAAATATATATCAAGAGGCTAAACTGCCCCTTGAAGCAAGAAAAAAAATGGTACCATGGTGTAGCCGGCCATAATGATTCAAATAGGTGGAAATAAATCAGTACCGCTAAACATTGCCAGGACATTCACCTCAGTATATATATCACGTGACCATGAATCAGTACAACAGAGGTATGGAGAGTACTGGAAGAATGAGAGAACATTTCCCTCATGTGACCAGGACCTGAGGCTGCAGCCAGACAAGTAAGCTTTTCACATCTGTAAGTCACTTTTCTGTGAGAGATATAAGCTCATTTTCCCCCTCTTTTTCTTCCACTCTCTTCCATTGTAAAGAAATAGTGGCACTGTAAGTCAGGGGAAAAAAAACAAATAAACTAGTACTCTAATAACCAAAGACAACTTGTAGCCTTCTCAATGATGTCAGACTCTGCCTCCCATCATTTCCCAGTGTTGGCTGTGCTGCTGTGAAGGAGTGGTAGACCCAAAGGAGAAAGAACAGAGTGAGCCATCCCCTCAGCTAGAGACGTCTGAGCAGAAAAGGGAGATAGAAGGAGGGAAGACAAGAGAAAGTGAGGAGTTGAATGCAGAGGAGGGGAAAAGAAGGGAATCAAAGGGGAAAGAGGAGAAGATTGAAATCTGCCTAGTGGAAGAGAGAGAGGGAGAAAGGGAAGAAGGATTAATTTTGCCTGTGTAGGAGGAGAGATAGGAGAACAAAGTGGGAGGAGACAGTTCAATATACCAAGAGGGGAAGGAAGGAAAGGGGAGGAGAAGAAAGGAGGAGAGGAGGAGGAAACTGAATATGATAGAAGGTAGGAGGGTTGCTACCTGATCCAGAGAAATCTAAAGAAGACGTCGGCAGAAGCCCTAGAATGGACGGTCATAGTCTTCCCGCAGGGACAAGGTCATTCGAGGAAGCCAGACCCTTCCTTCAACTACCCACCACCGGAGGGAGATTGGGCCAGACACCCTTGCTGTGGGACAATATGTGTGGTCCAGAGTGCTCTGCTGAGGAATCCCACAGATTGGTAACGTTTTGGGCCAGCCCCTCAATGAACCTTGTCAATTTACAGACAGAGTTATTGTCCTCGCAATTTCGACAGTTACCAGATCTTAGATAGAAGTTGTAGTAGATTCACCCAATGTTAAATTGAATCAATCTGTTAACGTTCAAAGAGATACTCAGTTGTCATCTCCTGCCAAAAAAGAGGAACTGTTCCAGGTCTTTAATGAACCCAGTCACAGCTGTCTAGGGTGAATGAGAACCACAAGTTACCAACACCAGTTGGATGGATGGATGGATAAGAAAGAAAGAAAGAAAGAAAGAACAGTGTGAACCAACGTTTGGACTAATATGATCATGTCAGTGGATGCACTCATAGTTTTTAGGTTTTGAAAGGATTTGATTGATCTCTATCATACCATTAACCTGAACTTCACTGAAGACCAAGGAAAACTAAAATGGTATTAAATAATGTGCCCCTAATGTTTGTTTTTCAAATGTGAAAAAAGCAAGACACAACCAAGCTGCCTTCTCACATGCAGTCAATAACGGCAACCACTGCAAATGCCCTATTAACATCCCTGTCCTCCTCAAAGCTTATCAAAAGAAGCCTATGCCTTTGTAACATCAAAGTGTGGTGTTTGCTCCGAGGCCAGTTTAGTTTGCTTGCTATTTGATGAGAGGGTGCCACTAATTGCTGTTGTCATTATGCCATTCTCTCAATGTCAAGAACCTCCAAAGGATACAGAAAGGACAGCCTTATTTCAAAGCTCATTTGACATTACTCTGTTCTCCACCAGTGGTGTGCATGCTTCCTTGCCTCTTGCAATTAGACTGTTGAATCCAGGTTCTCACTCACTCGCTCTGAAAGTGAAGCGCCCAATAACTCATGCTAAGCATAAAAGAGGTACAATTATAGTGCAAAACAAGAATTTGATAAAGGCATGTGGGAAAGTTCACAATGGTACTTCAAAAGCTGACCAAAAAAGGCTTGTACAGATTTTTAAAACTTGTGGGTTGTGACAAGCTAAAAAAGATATTTAGTGCTTGATGAATCAATAATTTCAGTTGCACAGAAGTTTTCAGTGTTCTGCAAGGAGGCAAGGAGTCACTTGCAATCAGAAATTGAATCTGCAAAAGTTGTTAATAACATATCTAATATGTATTTCCCCCTATTTCCCCTGAGTGACAGCCAAATAACATTTTGACTGAAAAGATGGGACTTCACAGCAGAGGGCATGAAGCTATCAATGGCTACTGATCATGCTGGCTGTACACTGCTCTCCACTATCAGAGCCACTTTCCTTCTCAGTATCAGTTGCTGAGCTTCCTGAGTGAGGGCAATGCTACTGTACTCACAAACTATTTGTGGGCTGCCTGTAGGCATTCTCTGCTGAGTCCTTTGATCACAGAATGACACAGAAAATATGCAGAAGACCACCTATGTCAGAAGCCATCAGCTAGATCTTGGAAAAGATCAGTATTTACCCCCTTTTCACCCAAAAGGGCTCCAGATGTAATGCTGTTACTTAGAACAGATTAAAAAGATTATTTAACAGTACATGGAAGACCACTTCCAACAGCCAGTTTTAAAACTAATCCCAAAGGCCAAAGGGTATTCTGAACAATACGAGCTCTCTTGAGCACAAGTGCCATGGCTGAGGTGCTGCGACAGAGAAAGCCTCATCTCAGAGACCCACCAACCCAGCCTCTGAGTGCAGTGAGACACATGACGGGGCCTCCAGTAATGATCTCAGATTTGGGGCAGACATTTATGGAGGCAGGTGGTTTTCCCATATCTTGGCCCTAATTTAAAAATGATCATATTTAGATTTCTGAAGATCAGAAACAGCACCCTGAATTGAACTCAAAAGCAAAGTAGAAACCAGTGCAGCTAGATCGATACATCCAGTCTCTAAAGTGCATGCCAGACATGTCTCTAAAGGACATGTCTGGCTGCTTGCATTTTGCATTAGCCATAGCATCCGAACACTTTTCAAGGGCAGTCTAATATACAATGCCTTTTAGCAGACGAATCTGAAAGCAATTAAAGCATGGACCAAATCTACCCGGGAAGGGGAAAAACCAGTATACCAGCTAAAACTGGGCAAAGGCATTCCTACCCACAATAGCCATGCAGTCTTTTTCTAAAAGCCATGTTGGACCCAGGAACACTCCCACTTCTGTTTGGCTTTCTGCTGACCTGTGGGT